TATTTGTAGACTGATCAGAATATTTGGTGGCCATTACAATATCTACAGGAATTTGCTGCAGTCCCAATGAGCACTGTTCTGTTGGACTTATGTTATATTGGCTCGATTTGTACAGTATCCATGCGCTAAACAATATCTTGTGTCAGAAATGATGCTATTTCAGATGAGTGTATTAAGAGCAGACGAATGAAATTGATCGCTTATTCAAGATAAGGAATAGGGTTCCCTTTTCAGAAGAACAACATAAGTCGCAGTTCGTCATCGACTCGAGTCATTTTACATATATTAATGACTGTACGAGAACGAAGAGTTTTATTGCGAGAAAGCAGCACGATAGTAGTATTGCTTGTATTGGACATACGAAAATAGCACTAGAGCTTTAACTGTAGGAATCTCTGATGTTTGTATCAAAGATCTTGTTCTATTGCCGCATAAACCTGACTCTTGTCTGAAACTTCTTTCCATTCCGACACTCTCAATAGTCAAGTATAGGTGACATGCGAAGTGTCTGTGTCTCTCTTTCACTACAGTCGAACACGCATGAGAAAGAAGATCTAATGCTACCTTAACATGCGTCTTGATATGTCGTCTCTTCGCTCTTCTCACGAAAAAGATATGCTCTACGCGCTGTGACTAGCATGCTACATAAGGAGGATGCGAGAAATCGCTAACTCAGCCTACAATGTGCGGATTATATTTATGAGTGTGAGAAACGAAATGACAATGTTTGGAGTATTATTCTTACTTCGATAAGCGAAGAAGAATGTGTGGAAGTGGATGATGTGGTACTCTACACAGAGAAAGAAAGAAAGAAGAGATTGTTGCTAGAGTAATCAAAAGAACAGAAAAAGAAGAAATTTGATTGCATTACACAATCAGTGCCTTTCCAAGGCAACGTTCGTGCAAGATACCTCGTGAAGTGCCAAGGAAGCTATAATGAGACTTTCATAGAAATCATTCTATCAGAACTCAAAGTGAGGCCATATTTACATCTAGCTTGTTGAGAGCTACATGAAACATAACTTTGTATCTGTGACACAGGTTTGGGACAGAGTCTTTGAAGAATACTGCTTTTGAATGGCGTTCCCGTCGAAGACTGTTCCATTTCGTAGTCTGTTTGTATCAATTGAGATTGTGAGGTAGCTTCAACTGCTTTTCGTACAATTTTCAGAGGCCTTTTGTAACACGAAATCATGTTCTCAAGGTCATGCGTACCGTGGCTTGGACATGTATCGAAAGCACATATTTAAGTGCTCGGATAAAATCTTTTGCGTCCACATACAATCCAGTAATGTTGATATAACCACACACGTGTTCACTGTAAGTGTTTACTACTGAACAGAATGTATTGTCAAGAATCAAATTGTTCACCAATAGTATTCCATTTTCATTCTCAAAACATTACAATAAAAGAAAACAATAAAACGTTCTATTATGATCCTATATGATACCACGATATCATATACGACCATATAGGATAAAACATATGTCAAACATAACATATAACTAAAACACTAGAGAGATTTTCCAAACTAGCAAAGCTCAATGAAGTTTGGGGTGATAATTTTAAATGCATAGCACGAAAATGTTCCGAAATGTTCCGATACTGCTAAAGTAGCAAAATCGATACTTTCTTGGGCACTACAAAGTTTTGTCAAATTTAACATCAATAAATGATTGTTTTCAGTCGATATTCTTTAATATTATTGAAACAGCAATAAACGAAGGTCATCGAGGACCTGATGAAAATTTGAAACAACTTATTCATGCTATCAGTTTGTATGCGTACGAGCAGAACAGTAAACTTTTTAATGCAATTCATCCTCCTTCTTTGATACTTAGTGCCATGAGTCTTGATCAAACTTTACTGCAAAACCAAGACGAATTTCATGTAAATTTTCATGCTTTTAAAAATTGGAGTAAAACTAAAAAGAAAAGATAAGTATTCTAAGCAGTGTTCTTCTAAAGCAAGACTGAAATTCTTAACTATGATACTGAGAGGAACCCTTTTACTCTAAAAATGAGAATAATTGTCCTACTCTGAAAATACGAGTAAACGCTCTACTCTGTTGGATCTGCTCCACGAGAATATTACGAGAATTCCTTGTAAGTCGAAGACGTAATTTTCGGAGTAAGAAAATCCTGATTTCGGAGTAAATTTTTTCAAAAACAGGAGGGATCCCTCCCCTCCCCCTTATCGGGGCGCCTCTGGATCACGGGATGACTGGAACTATCAGAAACTTACTCTTAAGAGAACTTCGGTACGATAGAAATGCTTATGTATTATTGAGTTGCCATTTGACGTGATTTCTGTAGTGCCCAAGCAAAAATCACCTATGGAAAAATCTAGATACATTTTGTCTGTAATCGGGTAATGCACAAACTTAGATGTGTAACTAGCAATAGTTAAATAAATCAATTATCGGGAGATAAATCGATAGTTGCAACTAGAGAAACCTAGTAATCGCCCGATTACTAGATTCCCACGGTCGTCACCCAATAGTTGCAATCGAGTAAAAATCTAGTACTCTAGATGAATCGGGCGATACTAGATCTTTTTTATGCTTAGGTGTAATCAGTCAACAAAAGAGGTCTAAAAGCAATGTTTTTTTTATTCATGGTGATTTATGATAAAAAATTATTGTCGACAGCAAGAACGGGCTTCACAGTAAGTATGGAGTAATTTATTTTGAATGCTGATTCTGATAGATTTCTGATAGTTCCAGTCAGCCCGCGATCCATCTCAGATTTTGCATTCGAATAAGCCATTCAGTTGGCCATCAAGCTGATATAAGAATCTGATAATATGAGCTATCACCCTTTTTGTAAACGTTTGCGAAATAATAATGTTTCTGCTAAAAACACCGAAAATATGAAGACTTTTCGGGAAAAGTTCGAAAATTGAAGAAGTTTTCTAATTGTGCGTTGATTTCTTTATATACTCTTATAGACAAAGCGAAAAGTCTAATTGATCAAGTGCAGCATAGCTGAGCAAATATATGTAGCCTGCTTCCAGAGCAAAATATTTGAAGTGAGTTATGAAAGATGGAAATGCAGTTAGTACTCAATTCTTTGTTCTTTGTTTTGTCTCTTGTTTCACCGTTTTTTCAAGAACGAAGAAATTACTTCTGACTGTTTTTCAAGTATTACGTTGGCGGATCAGGTGTTTTTATAAACATCTAGTATTTTTTTATGAAGTTTTACTCGAAACTCTTAACCCTCAAGTTTTATTTGGAGAAGCAAAAGGAAAATGCAGTTCTCTGAAACGTGTTTGATTCAGTTAGTAAATAAATGAATCAGAATGTTGAGTAAAAAAAGCGAACTCTTATCAAGTTATAACATACCAGAAAAGGAAAAAAGATAAGCCGCGTTGTCTGCACTGTAAGCAAAATCAGTATTCTAAAAAACGCTTAAAGCGTTCGGGAAACTGAAACCACACCGAACGAATAAAGGTTTACGAAAGAACCCTTAAAGCGTTCAAGAAAGGGTTTGTCACGTCTACGAAACCTTTTACTCGTTCGGTGTAGTTTCGATTTCCTGAACGCTTTAACCTTTTCGGAAAGGATTTTTTATGTCCCTATAGTGCACTATTATACTCTCTTGAATTTCTACACTGAGTGTCGTGCCATTTAATCTTCCGGAAAGTAACTTCTTCTTTATAATAAGAGCAAACGATGAAGGTATTTTTTACAGAAACAGAAGAATAACAGTGAGGTGCTGTTGTCAGGTTTAGTATTAAGCAAGGTTGAGAGTACTTCTACAGAACTGTTACACCCTAACCCCAAACGCCTGCAGTATAAGGTGTGATTATTTTGTAGAAGTGCCATGAAGAGTACTAGAAAGTTATCTGCATTGTTCTAAACTCCGAAGAATCTGAAACGCTAAGAAAGTAACAAAAGATCATTTTTATTTCGTGACCTCTGCGACAGTAAGAAAAAAGGCGTCTTGCTATCAGGTATTAGGAGAGTCTCTTGGCATGCTAACAACGCCTCGCTTAAGTAATTAACTAAGTAAGAAAACAACATAACACGACTCTTGGTCTGCTAATAATAAGATAAAAGTTTAGCAAACACATCTGACTGGAAAACTAGCTGGTATTATCTATTTGATCAATGAGAAAATAATACGTATTCTCATCCTGAACAGTTGAAAAAACCGCTGGTTGAACTTCTTCAACTCATAGCTTGAATAATTCCCCTCACCATTTCTTAAAATACGTTTTTCCGTGTTTCAAGAAATCCCTTTATTTAAGAGAATTGCCGTAGGGTTTTCTAAACGAGAAAAGTCCTTCGGGTTCATTAAAAAATCCAAAGGGTTTATCAGAAAACCAATGAATTTTTCATTTTCAGGGTATATTAAGAAACCCTACTGCTGATAAACCATTAAACGTTCAGGAAAACTGTCAATAAACTTTTTCCATTTCAGAGGACAAATGCGTAACGGTTAGTTTTTTAAGATACGGATTTTTTTTAGAGTGTGTCTGTCTGTTAACGTCACCTACAAAAACGACAGAATTCTTCCAATAATGCCGAATTCGGATGGAATTCCGATTTCACTACGCTTATTACGTTGAAACAAGCTTTGATATAGATCGCTGAAGAGAGTGGTTACAGATGCTGTATCGGGTGTATTAGCCACGTCAGAGCCAAGCGAAAATTCCTTTAACTGAATTTAATTATCTGTCTACAGTCAATGGAACGTGTCAATCGTCAGATGCACACTACTTTTTTTGATTAGGCATAAAACTTAGTTTAATCTCAGAGATTAGCAGATGTTCGACTTTTGGCCGTTACTTTTAAATAAGAAGTTTTTCTGGTAAAGATATTGTCTTTTAAGCTTTGTATTACGTCTAGTCTACGAGTCGAAACCACTAAGCGAGAAACCACTGCTAGAAGGAGCACAGTTTTGAGAAAGCACTTTATTGAAACTTGATCAAGTGTTACAAAAATCTTTAAGTTTATAAAATTAGTTTACATCAGAGCAATGCCGTTTCAAAGTACCTATGCTTTTTCCATTCGTTCTTTCATACGACGAATATTTTCTTCTACTGCTTGAAGAGTTGGATGATTTGCGTGCAATGATTTACGCAAGACTGATAATGACTTATTTGAATACTCAAACGCTTTCGAATAGTTTTTCAGAGCAACGTAGACCGCTGACATATTATTGTATAGAAAGCCGAATGTATCATAATTTTCCGGTAGATGAATTTTAAATATTGCGAATGCTTTCTGATAGAAATCCAATGATAAATTAAACTCTTTTATCGCTGAATAGATATTGCCTTTTATTAAATATACGTCACCACGAGCTTTGCTACCTTCTGAAAAAACTTCCAGTGCTTTGTCTGTGTATTCTAATGCTAATTCAAACTTACTGGTATTAAAATAAAGATCGGCAATATTTTGATAACAGCTAGCCATAAGTTGATTACTAACATCTATATTGACTTTTTCCCAGATTTCAAATTCGTTTTCAAAATGTAACAATGCTTCATCGAATTTTTGAAGTTTAACTTCGGCCAAGGCTAAACCATTATAAATTACTCCTAAACTTATATCATCTATATAGGTCTTAAATTGATTCATTAACTGTTCAAAATAATTTTTGGATTTTTCATATTCACCTTGTCTATACAACCAAGTCCCAGGAGAAGCTAGACCGAAGTCTGTTTCTGTTTTTATTTGTGACAATATGTCTTTCATTTCATAGTCGTCTTGACTACATAGAGATAAAGTAGCAATCCACATTTGTTCGTGTTGATTATATTCAATCTGCTGAATTTTAAAAATACTTCCCAGAGCAATTAACACCTCATCTTCATTACCAAAATAACTTAAATGTTTGATATCGGCGTAGGGTTTTGTATTTGGAAAACGTGTATCGATGTTGAACTGGTACAAGATCCGACTGAGTTCTGGAGTAGTTGAAACTCGATTGACAAATTGAACGGCTGTTGCTTTCTTTGAGCTTGTAGATAGAAAGGCGTTCATCGAAATGAACTCACCAACATTTTGACGAAGTAGATTCAGTTCTTCATTTAAGATAGCTTGACCACGATAAACGTGAAGAATTTGTTCTCCAGTGTAATTCCGCAGATATTGTTCATGTTCTTTGTACAATTGTATCGTCAAATCTTTGATAAACGAACGCATAGCGAATATCACTTCGAAATTATTATCTCTTAAACCTTTGTTAAGAATTCGATAGAGACAGGTTTCACGTGTATACCACCAGATTGCCTTCTGTGGATAGTATGTGTTCTCTATTTCTTTGATAATTTGTAATTCATAATCATTTCCTTCGTATTGTTGTATACAGATATCTAGTAGTTGTTGCCGGGAGACGGCATTAATTGACATATTCAGTAAAAGCTCAACCAATAATTGAAAGTACAGGAAAGCTGTATTACGTTCTTCCAGTGCACCTGCTGCTGTCGAACTGCTGTAAATACTGATTCCAACAGAATCGCCATCGATTAGTTGTTGAATTCGTTGTGCTTTTGATAATTCGTCGACTAATTCATCCGACGTAGTGAAGACACCTTTTACCTGAAGAGAATGATAGGGAGAGAGATCGATATACTGACTATAAACTTACTTTCGGATATCCTTTCGCCCATTGTTCATTAGCACTTTTGTTTATACAATAAACATAAACTGACGTTAGATAACGGAAGTCATGTACAAGAGGAACAATTCTACGACCGTAACTGCCAGACACGATCAAGGCAATTTTTTGATCCTTCAAATCAGTTAAGAAATTAAGACACTCGTCGGTATTGTCAAATACTCTTATTTGATTAACAGCCTGACGTAGTTTCTTCTGTGTAATTAAATTATCTTCTGTTGAATTAACATCTCGATCAAGCCACACTAATGTGTGTGTTTCAAGATTGAAATGACTTCGTTGTTGTGACTGTTCTTTTGTAACAACAGTTGTTGTCTGTGAGGATACTGTAGAAGAAAGTGCCCCCGTTGCTTTGATAGATGGTTTATCCGTGGCAGTTACTGCTGCCGATAATGATGTCATTGACGGTGCGGATGTCCGTATTCGGAGTTGATTATTTGCCGAATAGATATGATATTGCTGTGGACAATGATATATTAAATGAAGAAGAGCTATTACTGGTTATTAAGTCGAGTTTCGCTGATGTAGATTCGAATATTTGTAAAGAGTTTGAACAAAGAAAACAGTGCTTACTAGAAGGTTTCAGTTAAAGTGTAGACTAATAGTAGAGCTCTCTAAGAGCACCGATATCGGAAAGAATCCGTAATTTCGCACAGTACAAGTGTTTTAACTATGCCTTTTGACATTTATTTCTAATACCATAAATGATAGCAAACGTGTGCTTTCATGACTATTCTCCTGCCTGTGTAGAGGCGACTTATCTTTTTTTCTTTTCTGGTATGTTATAACTTGATAAGAGTTCGTTTTTTTTACTCAACATTCTGATTCATTTATTTACTAACTGAATCAAACACGTTTCAGAGAACTGCATTTTCCTTTTGCTTCTCCAAATAAAACTTGAGGATTAAGAGTTTCGAGTAAAACTTCGTAAAAAGATACTAGATATTCACAAAAACACCTGATCCGCCAACGTAATGCTCGAAAAGCAGTCAGAAGTCATTTCTTCATTCTTACGTTCCTTCATTACACGTGTTGGATTCAGTTAGTAAATAAAAAATTTATTTTAGTAAATAAATGAATCAGAATGTTGAGTAAAAAAAGCGAACTCTTATCAAGTTATAACATACCAGAAAAGAAAAAAGATAAACCGTCTCTACACAAGCAGGAAAATAGTCACGAAAGCACACGTTTGCTATCATTTATGGTATTATAAATAAATGTCAAAAGGCATAGTTAAAACACTTATACTGTGCGAAATTACGGATTCTTTCCGATATCGGTCCACTTCGAGAACGCTACTGTTAGTCTACACTTTAACTGAAATCTTCTAGTAAGCACTGTTTTCTTTGTTGTCCGCACCGTCAATGACATCATTATCAGCAGCAGTAACTGCCACGGATAAACCATCTATCAAAGCAACGGGGGCACTTTCTTCTACAGTATCCTCACAGACAACAACTGTTGTTACAAAAGAACAGTCACAACAACGAAGTCGTTGCAATCTTGAAACAAACATTCTTTTGTATCCTTAAGTCCTTTCAATGAACCGAGGCTTTACTCTATCTTCATACATATTTGGTGCTAAAGTCTTGATTTTTCAGGCGGTGTACCTGACGGATGAAAAGCGATAAGGTTGTCAGATTATGAACCTACAATGGATTTTTAATTGTAACATGGTGACTAGATAGTCTCATGTGTTCTCTACAAGTCTGTGCAAGGCCGACCTCTCTACTTGTTATAGTTCTCGATTGGCGGGCATTTTCCGGAGTCACCCGTAATTCGTTACCATTTCTGTTGAAGAAACGCCTGCCATTCCACAACCAGAGAGATCGCTCTAGCGCAGAATTGTAGAGAACACTTTGGACTATCTGGCCACCATGTTAAAATTCTTCAAGTTTAAATTCAATATTATTTGACAAGTCCTTTTCAAACTGACATAGTCTGATAAAGTATGAGGAGCCACTTCTTAACTGCAGTTCGAAACTCTTGCCAAAGATCGTGCAATAACGAAGCATGGTGGAGTAAAACTTTTGCTACAAAAACTGTACGCAATGGTCGACTACGAGGGGTTATGCTGTCTGTTTTTCAGAGTTTATTTTTCGAAAGTAAATTTTCTTTCTGAAATAAAATCATTCTCGATTAGTTTCGTATTCCGTAAGAATGTGCGAAATGAGTTTATAAATATATTATTGTCTAACAGGATATAATTATGCATATAAAGAAGAGATAAAAGATTTCCTATTGATCTGTCTAAAATAGGGAAGAAAAACGAATACCTTCTTAGATGATTCAGTTGTCTAGCAAAAATTATTTTTCTATTTACTTTATTCATTAAATATTATAATTTATCGAAGTTATATCGTAAATTAAAGCCAATATTTCCTAATGACATTCTTCAAAAAAATGCTGTAGCAAGATATCGGTGTGTTATGATATACTATGCATATTAATAATAATGTCTAGATGTTTGAGTTCAAACGGACTACATCTTTTTATCTAAAATAAACTCTTTTGCGACTTTTACATAATAGGAGCTGTTCGGAAATTGACGGACATTATCGTTTATATACATGTAATTCTACTAGTGTTTATAAGTGAAATGAAAATATTGTATTATAGAATAATATTATATGCTATTGCGGTGATTTGATCAGTAATATTCTGATGGGGATTAGAAACAAGATTAAATAATCGTTTATCTAGATGTTGATACTTTTTCTTTTTTGAAACTTCTTCGCCGGCATTGACTCGTGCTATTTTAGTATGAATATGGGATGAACTCTAAAATTAGTTTTTCAATAAACTTTCACAGAGTGGGATGTGAACATTGAAAAACGCATCCTGAAAAATAGAAGTGTTCATCAAAAGAAAGCAGATTTTAAGTTTATATTTGAAGACTTACCAATACGTCTGTTCCACGCCTCGGCAGAATTA